AGATGATAGTATATTAAACACAAATCAAGTTTCAGATTAGTTAGTGTTGTGATTGAGATCTTCAGAGTCTTCATAATAGGCATTTAAATTGGCACTGATTTGATAAGCATTAGAGCTACTGACCACTGCTTGCCTTTGAGCTTGCCGTACTGTCTTGGCTTGTGTGATGCTGGACTTTATGCCACTGATATTTCAGATCCCAGCAGGGCCACTCATGGTTTTTAGACTTCTGTGGTATGGAACAGACAGCACTGAAGGAGGAAGGCCAAGCTACACTGAAGTGAATGGAGAATACAGATCCAGGGACTTTAGTTGAGGTATTTGAGCAAACAGGTGTAACTCTCACTTGATCTTAGCCAAACCAAAAGGCTAAGAAGCGATAAAACAGGTGTTAATTCTCGATTTGCCCACCTGTCTATGCCAAGAAATTTAGAAACTGCTGACGAACCAATTAGAAGAAAACCATGTATGTTCCCATTCTCTCCCCCCCCGCCACAAAAAGTGGTCCAACAGTAAGTAGAAATTATCAGACATTATCATTAATACCAGATGTAAGTAAAATCTTACTGAAGATTATTCAAAAATAGCTGGATTAATACATTGTCAGGCAACTGATAGAAATGCAGTTTTAATTCAGTTATATTAATAGATCTTCCTTGTATGTGTGTGGATATTACCCTATCATTGATATTTGTTTTATTTGAGGGCAGATTTTGAAATGGTCTTTTTGTTAATGATTGGACAACATTCCTCTTCAATTTGTCACTCCTGCATAGTAGGTCTTATAATTGTCTGATTCAAAAGGACTGGTACTAGTCTGTCTCAGTCTACTAATGCCTAGGATTCAATCTCTATGTGTTCCATTTGATTTTTTACAAACTCCAATTTTTCTAGATTTCAGGTTTTGTAAATTCCACATTCCAGTTATTAATGGATGTTTGCAGTGATTCTCCTTGATTTTGTTCCCAGCCACATCAGCAAATGGAAGTTCTTCATTGTGTGAAACCACATTAATAAGTGCTTTATCCATATTATTAATGTAGACTCTAATTTGAGAAGCCAACAATTCCCCAGATGCCTTTAGGGTACCTTCAAATTTAAGAGGTTCATCTTATGACGCTGTATTAGATAATGTTCTGTTGCAGCTCATAGGAGTGGTTGTATTTGTTTGTTGTTGTTGTTGTTGGGTGCCATCAAATTGACTAGCAACACTATGAACAAACAACAGATTGAAACCTTTCACCATACCCATTTAATTTCTATAGGGAGCTCTGGTGGCCTAGTGGATAAAAAGTGCACTGCCAACCCAAAGGCATTTAGTTCAAATCCACCAGCTACTACTCCAAAGATAACAGGTGAACATTTTCCTCCTTTCCAGTTTACAGCCTCTAATAACCCACTAGGTCAGCTATGATTCAGTTCCAACTTGACAGCACATAACAACAACATTCAGTTTATATGTTGTTGTTATTGTTGATTGCCTTCACTCATAGCGACCCTATGAACAAAAGGCCTGAAACCCCTCTACAACTATCAACATTTGTCAGAGTTCATAGAGTTTCCAGAGGCATGTTGTTTAGGAAGTGGATGCCACTCCTGCTTCAAAACCTGTCATAGTATGTTATTCTTGTTATGTGCCATTGAGTTGCCTGCGATGCATAATGACCCTAATGTACAGCAGCTCTGAACCCTTCTCTGTCCTGAGCCAATCTCACTCTGACACACCAACCCCCATTATCCCAGTCACTGTATCAATCCATCTCATCCAGGGTCTTCCTCTCCTGTGTTGTCCATCCACCCTTCTGAGTATGAAGTCCTCCTCCAAGGACGATCTCTCCTGGCCGTGTGTCCAAAGTAAGTGAGGTAGAGCTTCAAAATCCTAGCCTCCAAGAAGAGACTTGGTTTCACCCTCTCCAAAACAGACCTATTATATTTGTTTTCTTGGCAGTCCATGGTATATTTAAGACTCTTCTCCAGCACCACAACTTGAAGGCATCTATTCCTTTTCTGTCATCTTTAGTCACTGTCCAACTCTTTGGAGCATGACAGGTAATTGAGAAAACCAGTTTATATGCTGATCAAACAATTTGAGAATCAGGACTATATGAAAAAGAATGCGACACAGTCATAAACAAACTGTAGTATACAAATGACACACCCTTGCTTGCTGAAAATACAAAGGACTTAACATACTTACTGAAGAAGACCAAAGACTGCAGCCTTCAGTACAGATTACACCTTAACATCAAGAAAACAAAAGTCCTGGATCAGTAGACAACATCATGATAAATGGAAAAAAGATTGAAGCTGTCAAGGAAGTCATTTTCCTTGTATCTGCAGTCAACACCCCTGCAAGCAGCAGTTAAGGAGTCAAAAAATAAGTTACAGTGAGAAAAATCTGCTGTCAATTGGATGGCACCTAGCAACAACAGCAGTGGAAAGGATCCCTGGTGTATAGTGTGATACGTCCTTGACTACTAATAAAAAGTTCAGTTATTTGAATCCATCATCTGTTCCACAGTAGAAAAATGGACCATTTCTTCTGTAAAGATTTGGAGCCTTGGAAATCCAATGGAGAATCAGTGTGTGTTAAAACCTACTCAAAGGCAATGAGTTTGATTTTTGTGAAGGAAAAGTAAGTGACAGCTCTCCAAATCCACCTACAGTGACTGAAAATGGGAATAGAGAAGAGCTAAGGGTATATGTTTAGTGAATTCAGATTGGAAAATAATGATTTTAGGTTTTTACTTCAAAATATAGATATATTAATTTAGATGTATACAGTGAGCATCTGGAGTTCAAGGGGGAAGATAGTTGAGAGAATAAGTTAATTACAAAGTTGTCATCATAGTAAACTCTCAGAGTGAAAAGGTCTTCAAGGAGATGCTATCGACTAAAACAAGAGAAATTAGATCATTACAGATCTAAGAACTGTTGCATAGGACTCATCGTCTGTGCATAATTAGAAGAGAACAAGCCAATAAGAAAATAGATGCTACTAGGATAACCATCTCTTCAGAAGTTTGTGATGGAAAGATATGATTTGTTTCGTAGGTGAAGGGGAATTACAGAGTTGAAAGTTTCTTTTGCTCATCATTTGTTTTCTATTTTTTTAAGTGAAATACAAACTAGAAAGATTCTAGAGAAGGGCTAATAAAAAGAGATTAAGTTACAGAAAGGAAGAGGGAAAGCAGAACAGAAGACAGCACCTAATTGGCCCATCCTTGGTAGCCTGGAATGCATATATTTGGATGAGACAAGGGAAGACTCCTTTAAGAACATTTGCAAAATAAGAAAGGATCCTGAAATCAAGGAGTGTTCTTTGATATTATCTTAGTAGATCCTTGTCTAGTTATGTTTTAAATCCTGCAAGATGGGGAATAAGGTTAAGAACATTTAATAGTTTTTGTTTTGTTTTTATATGGGATACTGTGTACATGAATGATTTTATTAAATACAGTGTATATGAGAAATTGTGTGGAACACAATGTATATAAAAGAAACACAATGTAAATTAATTGCTGTATGAAAACCTAGTACAAAAAATAAAAGCAGCAAAAAACTCCTGCCACCCTGAAAGGGGAGTTTGGAAGAATTTTACTAGTGAGATTAGCCTTACCCAGAGGGGGAAGTATTTCCCTTAAAAGTGACTCTAAAAATGTATTTTTCAGAAGACAGAAGATCTTGTTAATAATCTTTTATCTAATTTTTGTAGTACTTGGAACAGGACTTGTTAGCAAGTTTTCAATAAATATTTGGTAATTTGTGATAGAAGAGAAAGAAAAGCAATGAGATTAAGTACTGAAATGGCTTAACATAAAAATTGAGAAGATAATTTCAATTGATTTTATCAAATGAGGCATGTTATGAAAGGAGAACTGAGGATAGTAGTGATCATTTAGCATAGCCATTGGGAGGGATGAATGCAGTGTAGATAAGGCTTAAAATGGTGTTAAGTGTTATGGAATGAGTGATGAAAATGATGTTGTTAGACACCCTCAAGTAGACTACAATTCATTGGCAATTCATTTAACAACACACCTGAATAGGGCAAGGTTTAGGTTCTCTGTATTATTATAGTCAGTAAGTCAAGACCTCTTGTTGAACATCTTCCTCTCTTTATCCAGCCCTCCACCTTTCCCAGCATGATGTTTTTCCTCTAAGGACTAACACTTCCTGACAACAAACTCAAAGTATGTGAGACAAAGTTTAGTTATCCTTGGCCCCTGTGCCTGCCCTGCCCCCCATTTGGCCCCCCAGACGTGCATACCTCTCCAGTCAGCCAGTCAACTTACCTTTAATCCAGAGCACCTTGAGCTACCATGAGGGATCCCCCAGGTGCGCCCTCTCCCGGCCCCTGCACACACGCCATCCCCACCCCTAGTCTGGTTGGGAACTTGAACTGGCCCAGGCTGTTTAAACAGAAAGGACAGAGATCCTGTCTGTTCAATGTGTAAAAAAAAAAGCTTAGCCATCCTTGCCTCTAAGCACCACACTGGTTGCATTTCCTCTGAGATAATCTGTTCTTTGGGCAGTCCATGGGATATTTGGTACTCTTCTCCAGTTCAATTTAAAAACATTGATTCTTCTTCTGTCATCCTCATTCATTGTCCAGTTTTTTCCTCACATACTTTGTGGGTATTTTAATAAATTTTAATTGTGATTTTAATGAAAATTTACAGAAAAGTTAGATTTTCATTCATTGTTACACATTTTATCTTCCTCTCCGTCTCTTCCCCCTTTCCCAGTTCACTTTTTTTGTTTTTTTTAAATACTCATTCATTGTTACACAATTAACCTTCCTATCTCCTCTCAGTTGAAAAGTCCACTATTTGGATCAGGCGTATCTTAGTCTTTTATATTCTTGCTCTTCAGCACTTTAGGACCTTGATCATAAATTTTTTCCCTCATTACAGCACATCTTTTGATTTCTTGACTGTTGATACAGGTGAAATGAAACCACCTTCTAAATTCTCTTTTCTCTTGTTTAAACATTGCAGATAGTGAAACTATTACTTCGTCATGGTGGAAATCCATTTCAAGCCAATAAGCATGGGGAACGTCCAGTGGATGTGGCAGAAACAAAGGAATTGGAATTACTACTCAAAAGAGAGGTGCCTTTATCTGATAATGATGAAAGCTGTACAGGTTAGTTTCAGATAATCTATATTCAGCTGCTCTCTGATATGATATTAAGTAATGCCTGATTATTTTATGATATATAAAATGTTTTGGGCATCTTTAGAAAATGCTCTGTAGCTTTGAAGATTGATGACCTTAGTATCCTTGATATTTGCTACAAAATAGCCTTTGTAAATAAATTCTTAGTGTCATAGACTTATTTCCCATTTCTCCACAGATCTAAACGTTTTACTTATTACGTATTATTATTTTGGAACTCTTACCTACATATATCTACAACTTCTGCTTCTCTGACTTCATTTCATTCTGAATTATAAAGTTAACTAAAATTATTCTTGTTTCTTCCTAGCTTGAAAGTCTAGGAATGAGTCTTTTTGCTCTTTCATTTTCATGACAGGTGATTAAACTCTGGCTGTTTAGTGGAGAGTAGCAGAAACACAAGTTTTAAAAGGAAAAATCTAAAGGAAAATTTTAGAGAATTTTTAACAGAGTCAGAAAACATAAATAATCACAAATATGACCCAAAAAGTTACACATTTGATAGTATTCTGTATACATATTGAAGGGGCTCATTATATTTCAAGCATAAATAAATTTTGCAGGTCTTTTAACTGGCCATATTTTTTTAAAATATTAAAGAAAAATTCCTTCAATCAATTAGATAATACAAGTATTATGTACAGTAGAGGTTCTGTTTCAACAGCTCTGCCATCAGATAAGTTCTAATGTAATTCAGGTACCTCATGTTTTCCCTGATTTTCATTATTGCTGTCTTTTATTATCACTATCTTTATAAAGTCTATCTTTCTTTTTCTTTGGGCGTTGACATGAGAATAGAACATGCACATATTTTTACAATGTTGTGTTGTATACAATACATGTTACTGCCTTTAAGAAAGTTTATGTATGTAGCCCCATTAGATTAAGATGTAGCCAAAATTGTGCTATAGTCTGTGAAAAATAATACTTGTCATCATTAAACTCATGAAGAAAGAAATTAACTTAGAAAATGAGAAGAGAGAGAGAAAAAAACACCAATGAAGAGATTAAAAGAAAGAAATGAGAACTTAGTGATGTTTAGAAGATAATTTAATGCATTGACAAGCATAGACTATAAAAGCAGAAGAAGTTGCTTCTTTGTAAAGATCAACTATTGCAAATCTAGTTACAGAAGAATGAGTGGAAATTGGTTTTCATAAACATGATTAAAAAGTAAGAAAACAGCCACAACAACAGGAAAAGAAATAAATAAACTTTAACAGACACATACAAATCTAAAAAGAAAAAAAAATTCCAAGAAAACATATACACATATACAGGCACAGAAGGAAATGAGGGCTGACATAAAGAGAAAGAACAAGATGGAAAATAAGAGCAACAAAGAAGTAGAGACGGGCATGGTCAGTATCCTCACTGATCTTTTTTTTTTTTAAACATTTCTTCTAAGCCAGCAAAATATTGATAAGGCTTTGAGAAGAGTGACTTAAAAAGAAAAAGCTGCAGGAGAGTCTTCAGTGTAACAAAGTGCCTAACATTCCAAAGTGCTTTACTCTAAATTTCTTTTAAAAAATAGTATTTAGATGTTTGTGAGGTTCCTGTCCAGCTGGCAATGTACACTTTGAGCGCATTATCTGGAAAACCATTTGTTAGTATTCATTAAAAATCACAAGGACAGTAAATCATGGAGATGCATGTAACAAAAATTACAATGTACTAAGTGTCCAAAACCAAATAATTTTAAGAGTCCTGAAGATTCTGTTCAGCCTTTGTTTTTTTTAAAAATTTTAGTGTGTGTGTGTGTGTGTGTGTGTGTGTGTGTGTGTGTGTGTGTGTGTGTGTACCGTCAAATCAGATCTGACTGGTACAGGAAGAGATTGTTCCTCCCTCTCCAGCAGAGCATCTGATGGATTTGAACCATGCACCTCCGGGATTGCAGTGCACCTTTTTGCCACTAGGCCACCAGAGTGTGCCTCAGCCTTTGTTTTTGAGCATCTCTAATGATGAGATATTGCACCTTTTATATACAACATACGTCTTACTGTAAGGTAGTCATTGTATCTTTGAGCAACAATAAAAATGTGAAGAAAATATCTTTTGGCCTGCTTTCATAAATAAATACAATGATGTAGGTACTATTGTCAGATGTCTGCTTAAAAGTACTATTAATGTAAATATAACCACTTCCATCAAGCAGTGCAATTCTGGCTCATAGTGATCATAAGGGACAGAGTAGAATGCCCACTGCAGCTGCACCTTCTCCAGGACATACCTCCTTGTTCTTTTAGCAGTCCTTAGGATATTCAGTTCTCTTCTCTAGCACCACAGCTCAAAGGCATCCATTCTTCTTCTTTTGTCTTTAATCATTGTCCAGCCCTCTGATGGAGAGCAGGTGATTGAAAAGACTATGGCCTTATCAGGCGCACTTAGTCTTTAAACTGATACTATTACTCTTCAGGACTTTGGAGAGGTCCCTGACAGAGAATTTACCCAATGCTATGCCTCTCCTGATTTCCTGACTGCTGATACCAATAGTGTTGATTGTGATCCCAAGTAAGATCTATCATGATGTTGCCTATTGGCCTGAAGATGAAGATTTTTTTCTTGGTATTGAGATGTAATTCTTGATCTTCTGCAGCAAGTGCTTCAAATTCTCCTTACTTTCAGAAAGCAAGGTTTTATCGTCTGCATTACACAGGTTGTAAGGACTCTTCCTCCACTCCTCATGCCACATTCTTCTTCATAAAATCCAGCTTCTCTAACAGATTGCTCAGCATACATATTGAGTAGCTATAGACGAAGGAGAAATCCCTGACACACACCTTTCTTGATTTTAAACCATGTTGTGTTCTCTTTCTCTGTTCAAATGACAGTTTCTTGGTCTAGATAGAAGTTTTATATGAGCATAATTAAGTGTTCTGGGATTCTCATTCTTCTCAATATTAGCCGTAGTTTGTTATGATCCATACAGTCAAATGCCTTTGCATACTCAAAAAAAAGACAAATACTACAACCAGGAGAAGATAAAATAGATGAATGGGACCTTCTAAGAATCAAATCCCTATGCACATCCAAAAACTTCTCCAACAGAGTAAAATGGGAAGCCACAGATTGGGAAAAATATTTAGGAATGATATGTCAGATAAGGGACTTATAGCTAGGATTTATAAAATACTTGAGCACCACCACAAGATAAAGGTAAATAATCCAGTTGAAAAATGGGCACAGGGTATGAACAGACACTTCACCAAAGAAGACATTCAGATGGCCAACAAGCACATGAAGAA